GTTGTCATTTAGTGGCTAATGTACCACTACTTTCTTCGTTACAAGTTAGTTGCAAATGAGCAACGGATTAGCAACCACGCCTATTAGCAACGAAGCTTTTCTAACCATGCAATTAAGTTGCAAATGAGTTACAAAATCCATTTTTACAACTATTTAGTGACTAATATGGCAGTTGCAAAAGCAGTGTTTTCTTGTAGTGAGAGTTGGTTCTTTCTGAGTCTACTGACTTGCTTTATTTTATTATATACATTAATTAAGACAAAAACTATAGTTTAATATCGGAGATTAATGAGGAGTAGTGAAGCCAATAAATAAAGTTTTATAGTTTGTTCTTATTATAGTCCTTTATTGTATAGTTTTCTCCCCTCATCTGTCTTGTCTCATTGTCTTTTCCTCTCAACTCTCAAGTCCCCTAATAAAAACCACTCTTCTCTCTCTGCAGAAGAAGGTCAGATACAGAAACTGACTGCAAAGAACAAAGCTCCTTTCTATATTTGCAAGGTGCAGCTAAGTCATTCCTTAGTAAAAAAGCTTTGTTCTTTTCTTAATTTGCTCTTCACAGCCCCCAACAAGACTTTGCTGCTATTAAAATCAGATCCTGGAAAGCATCTTCAGAAAACAGCCAACACTCTCTCTTTCCCATGGATTTGCAACTGAAACAATGGAGAAGCCAACAGGTCCAGATAGAGTCAGAAGAACAACCTTCTGCAGCAAAGATACCAAAACATATCTTTGATCCTATTCAATCCCATACTGCAACTTCTACTGCTCTTCCACTCTTTGCCCCTGAACCTACCTCTTCCAAACTCTCTTCTTTATGTCCTGATTCCTCTTCCAGACTCCCCAGTGAGTCTTCTTTCCAAATATTTCTGAAACTTAATAGAGAGACTTTTCACTCAATAGAGTTAAAATAATTGATGATATCCTTTTTTGTTGTTGTTTTGTTAGAGATGGGGAGCTTCTTTAGCTGGGCACAGTGGCAAGAACTTGAACTACAGGCACTGATCTATAGGTACATGCTGGCTGGAGCTGCTGTTCCACAAGAACTTCTTTTACCAATCAAGAAAAGTCTTCTCCATCTGTCTCCTTCCTACTTTCTTCACCACCCTCTTCAACACCTCCCTCATTACCAGCCTTCTTGTGAGTCTCTCTCTCTCTCTCTCTCTCTCTCTCTCTCTCTCTCTCTCTCTCTCTCTCTCTCTCTCTTCTTTCTTGGTTTCATTCATCATGAGAATATGCTACTTTTATTCTTTATTTAAATCACTGCCTCCTTGTTTGAAGAGAAAATTAAATATGTTTTAAAAATGTGATGCATGGGTTCTGTGATGTTGTTGTTGGAGTTGTGCTCCCAAGATTTATTATTATTTTGTTTTTGCAAATCTTTAAGAAGCATGTGATGGGTTCTTGATTTTGTCTCTAAACAAGTCTACTCCTCCTTAAATGTTGTGCCCTTATTGGAGCTCTAACCATTTCTATGATTGGGATGAATATATAGTTTCATAGAATCTATGTTCTTGATCTGATCTGTAATATGGATAAACAGGGTATTTGGGGAGGGGGGCGATGGATCCTGAGCCAGGGAGATGCAGGAGAACGGATGGTAAGAAGTGGAGATGTTCAAGGGACGTCTTCCCTGCCCACAAGTACTGCGAGCGCCACATGCACCGTGGCCGCAACCGTTCAAGAAAGCCTGTGGAAACTCCCACCGTCAATGCCACCACCACCACTTCCATGGCTGCCGCAGCCACAGCTGCACCTGCTGCAACGCCATCTGCCTTTGCTTTTGGCGGTGGTGAGGAAGTGGGTCAAGGAGGATCATCTAGCTTCTTCTTCTCTAGTCAAAGGTAATTAAAAGACACTGTTTGTTTCATGTCTGTTTTTAGTTCTTGATCTTGCTGGTCAAAAGCATTAAGACAATAAGCTTTTGGTTAAGACTTGAGACAGTTGTTTTAAATGATAATGAGTCAAAAGTTTTTCCAAAATCTGCAACTGATTTTCACTTTTTGAAAGAGGAAAATCAAGATTGGTTCTGATATTTAATAACTATGATACGCAACTTGGTTTTGTATGTTGATCATACACTGAATGTTGAAGTGTTGTTGTCGAGAGAGGGGTAATGTTGGAAACTGAGAGACACATCCTTTTATCATTTTTAGGCTTCTTTGTTTGTTTGTTTGTTGGCTTTGTTTATTATTATTGAGAGATAATGATAACATTGGATTTGATAGAATCTATTATTTGTAGCTAGCTGCGAGACTTTTCAAACATAAAGAAAGAGAGACTTTAGATACAGAACAAAGGAATGGTAGGACCTTAGTGAAAACTGACCCATCAATGTCTCATATCTTGCAGAAACAAAGTTAAAGCTTTTAGATTCTTCTGCACCCACTTCCCCTGTCCACACACATCACATGTTACAAAACTCATTACTAATAATAATAAACTTTACCTATTAACTACTTAACATTAAAACCAATATTAAGGCTTCCAACTATGTTGTTGCTGAGTCTAATTGTGGAATCTATGTTGACAATATTTTGCTTTGTGCTTTGTCAACAGTTGTTCAGAAATGAAGCAAGAAAGCAACAATAACAAGAGGCCATACGAGTCCCATAATGGATTTGGGAACAATGGATCAGATGGAGGCCACATCTTGAGACACTTCTTTGATGATTGGCCTCGTTCTGAAGCTGACAATAGTTCAAGAACCATGAGCTCCGCCACTTGTCTCTCCATCTCCATGCCCGGAAACTCTTCCTCAGACGTCTCTCTGAAGCTGTCTACAGGCAATGAAGAGGAAGCTAGAAACAACAACAGTGGGAGGGACCAGCAAAACATGAGCTGGTGGAGCGGTGGAGGCACCAACCACAACCACCATCACATGATGGGACCATTGGCTGAAGCCCTGAGATCTTCCTCATCTTCTTCCCCAACCAGTGTTCTCCATCAGCTTGGTTTTTCAACGCAAGCCTTTCATTGATCAGTGACAAACCAACACAACTGTTTTGCTTTGTGCTTTATTCAAATTTCCTCAGTATAAAGAGGGGATGTTTTGTCGTCATCTTCCCTTTAGCTTTCCCATGTATCTGTAACAGTTCTCTGCAGATTTACTTCTCAAACATATATGTTTTCGGAACAACACAAGTGGTCATATCACTTTAGTCCATACTTGCACAAATTCCATGAGAATCATTAGAGAATATGGCAGATTTGCAAAAATATTATAGCACACATAAAATTTACATGGATTCAACAACTTCCAACACTCATCTACAAAGATATTTAACTATGTTCTACAAAGGTTATTCACCTTCTTTGAAAGTTGAGGAACTTGATACCATAAGCAAAGACAAAGACAAAGAGTAGTATCCATGCAATGTGGACAGCAGCTACAACTGGTAAGAAGTCATGTTCGAACCCCAATCCATCTTTGAGCAACGTTTTCAGATTCGTGTCTCCCAGACCAGTGATATGCACTATCAAATCTTTGTCTCCTACTTGAGATGTGATGATTCCATACAATGTCCAAGCCACTGGTGTTGCCCAGTAGTACCATCTCCACCATATAGGGATTTGCTGAGTTATAAGTTCCCCAAACAAAACCAAAAACAAGTTAGTTACACTCTTTTTGATTAATGTAATTTGCTTAGTGTTGTTACCGGTCTAGGGATAAGGAAACCGGAGAAGAGATTCCAAAGAACGATGAAGAAGGACATGCATATTCCAGCGATTTGATAGTTTGGTGTCAAGGCCATAAGCATCATACCATATAGAGTGAAGTAGATGAAGCTTGTTAACATGTAGTAGTAGAACCAGAAGAACTTGGTCACTGTCCAATCGTATCCTATCATTGAGTAAAGGATTAGCGTGTAAACTCCTGTTTGTATCGTGTTGTACATGATCTCCACCGCCACCTACACCATTTAAGCTCCGTTTAGTGGTCTAACCATGTTGTTATTTTAACATTATTAAAATGTAACCTTAGACATTGCATAGGGGATGGCTGAGTACATTCCAGCAGCTTTTTCACGGTAGAAGACAGTTCTCTCAATGGCTATTACAGGTTGAACTGCTGCAGCATTGGTGGCACCAAGGAACAGTACAGCAGCATACATGGCTCCAAAGAAGTTATTAAGGTCTTGTTCTTTCTCTCTGTTTATGGGATGAATGAGTCATGTTTTTGATAAGATGATAGTGTTTCTAAATGTGACAGAGGGAAGAAGTAGCCTTACATTTTGGTTCCTGTTTGCCAGAAGATCAAACCAAAAACGATACCAATGGCTATAGTCATGAGAAACCTGATGGAATTGTACTGAGGGTATCTCCAGTTTGACCAATACTGTTTCCAGAAGCAAGCTTTGGTTTGAGTCCAAAACGGTTGTGAGTACTTAGTTAGGAAGTAGAGATCATTTGATCCTGGTGGTGGAGTACTTAGCTCTTTGATGAGTTCCTGGTTGCTCCTGCAAATTTTCAGACATTTTTATACTCTGGTCTAGTACTAATAGTAGTAACGTGTTTCTCAAGCATACCGATAAAGAGAAGAGTTTGCGAATATTTGAGCAAAGTCCAAGCTCATTTGTGACTCCATTGAAGGAGTAGTGACATCAAGCATCCATGTTGCAGGATTGTATCCGTCCTTGATCTTTGGAACCCCTTCAACAGCCTACAAGTAGTATTAGATATGTGTCACAAATACATAAGGTCAAAAGATGGTAAAAGAAAATGAGAATACCTCAAAATATTCTATGAGTTTTTGTGAGTGATGCCCTAGACTTCCAGCATATATAACTTGCCCTCCACGTTTCATCAACAGAAGCTGCATTAACCCATAGATAATTCATCACTGTCTACTTGTTGTGAGACTCAAAAGTAGAGTGGTCTGGAGGCAAAACCTCATCAAAAGATTCGAAAATGTCGATGCTAGGCTGGTGAATGGTACAAACAACAGTTCTCCCTGTATCAACAGTGTTTCTAACTGTACGCATGACAATGGCAGCAGCTCTTGCATCAAGACCAGATGTAGGCTCGTCCATGAAGATGATAGAAGGGTTAGCAACCAATTCAACTGCAATAGTTAGCCTCTTTCTCTGTTCTGTTGAAAGACCATCAACTCCAGGAAGGCCAACTATAGAGTTTCTGTGAGGTTTTAACTCCACTAACTCCATTACTTCTTCAACAAACATCTATCATTCACATCAATACCCAAAATATGTTACCAGTCTTACTAAATTGCATGTTAGCCCCCAAAATCTCAGGACCGGCTCTGTACATACCTCTCGTGTTTTGGCATCTATATCCACGGAAAGACGAAGCCAAGCTGAGTAGATGAGGGATTCATAAACTGTAACATGTGGAGAATGGATATCATTCTGTTCACAGTAACCAGAGACTCTGGCAAATGTTGATTGGTTCTTTGGGTAACCAGATATGCTAATACTCCCTTCAATGTAGCCTCCTGTTTTTCTTCCGGCCAAGACATCCATTAAGGTTGTCTTACCTGCACCACTGACACCGACCAATGCTCTCAATATCCCTGGCCTAAAAGCTCCACTAACGTCTCTTAGTAACTGAAGGCGATCTCCTTCAACTCCTTGAGCTTTCATTTCCTGTAATGTTTTAAGGGAAACAATGAATGAAACTTAAAGCGATACAGATGTAACTGAGAGGTGCAGTTTACTTACTGCAGGCATGTCTACGTAGTAGTTAACATTGTTGAATTCAAGAGAAAGTGGTTGGAAAGGTAAAACCATTCCTCTCTTTGGCACATTACTTGAATGACTACTGAGTTCCACAAGAGAACCTGCAACTTCTCAGTTGAATCAGAAACCTTGGCACATACTACAGTGTAAAAAGACAGAACACTTAAAAATAATAGTGTTCACCTTCTGTTCCTTTCTGTTTGTCTTTATCTTCTTCCACAACTGTAGCTTTGGAGTCACCAAGAGCTGAAAGAAATAAATACATGTTTTTCAAGATCTTGTGAAAAATGAGTCTTGTCCAAAGCTGGAAGAGCACTTACGGTTCAAATACATCAAGGCTATAATGTAAAAGAGATTGAACAACAAAGAAAACCCGAGTAGCGCCACGATACAGATCCAGAACCAATATGGCTTTGTAGAGAAGCCTCTGCTCTTCAGAAGAACTTCTCCAACTGTTTTCGCATTGATGCGGGTATCAGTGTTGGGCTGCAACATGTAACATAACAGAGTTTGCATCACAATAGGCAGAGAGAAGTCAAGCAAATGAGGACGTGGTGAAGTCTTACCGCTCCCCATCTGTCATCTAGAAACTCATTCATAGCAATAGCAGTCTGTCCATACATCATAGGGGATATATAATAGGCCCAAGTCATCCATGGTGGGATATCATCTGAGGGAAAAAAAAAAAAATATGGTTTCACTTAACAATCTCTCACAGAGAGAACCCAAAGATGCTATCAGGGAAGGGTGTTTGATTCTGTTGTTTAAACAGGTGTATATGCTCTGTAATACTAATATAGACATGTGACCATATGGTTACTGTTGAAAACAAACGCGAATTAACTTCGAAGAAACTAAAAGAACTTAAGAGAGCAAAACACAAGAGTAATATAAAATATCATTTTAGTGGTTCATAGAGATTTAAGTCACTTCCAGAATCAACACTTACCTTTAGCGATAATGAAGCCTCCAAGAGTAAATACAATTAGCATTGAAAGTTCCAACCGAGTTGGCGATCACTTCTGTTCTTCCAACGGCTCCAAGGAATCTAAACAAAGAAAGTGCCATCTGATTCACACAGAAGTATGCCAACAACTGTCGGAAAAACCTAGTGGCACAAGTTTGGTTAGTTCTAAAAAAAGTTCCTTGGTGATATTCATGAGCACTAGAAGCAAAGCAGATGTACCTGGAAGCAGCAGGAGCAAAACCAATAGTGTAATATGTAAAAGCTATCCATATTCCTGACTCAATAAGAGATATTGGGATCTTTAGAAGCCAAGCTGGTAAGGCGAAAGCCCATGGAGGATAGAACAAGAAGTCTCTCTGCTTGTAGAAAACAGGAAGTCTCATGACTGTGAATCCTAGTTCAACCATTCCATTAAACATTACATTGATCAAACTGAAAAACAATGCACCATAAAACTTCTGACCATCTTGCACCGTGCCTACATGCATTTTGGTCCTAAGATAGACCGTCATGGCAATCAAAGACATGATCGTTATCTGGACGGTTTTGAAGACATACACAAAGGAGTTGCGTTTCATAAGAAGCCATTCTCTATCAAAGCATGCCTTGAAGAGCTCCCAGTTTGATATACCATACTTCTCTGTCACTAAGGCAGCAGGATGGGTTTTAGCTTTGTCATAAGGAGACCTGATGTCTGAAGCTAGTTGTTGCCCAGTGTGGAAAGAGTTGAAGCCGCTGGAGAAGTCACTCACTGAGACATAACTGTAAGATTGTTCTCTCCTGTTCCAATACTGTTCTTGGTCCTTCTTAGAGGTGACTTCTTGCAGAAAGTCTGCAACACCTTTCCTTTCAGGACATTGGAACCCCATGTGCTCAAAGAACTCAAGAACCTTGTCCCTAGGGCCCTGGTAGACAATTTGACCCTCTGAGAGCAGGATAATGTCGTCAAAAAGCTCGAATGTCTCTGGTGCAGGTTGCAGAAGAGAGATGATCATTGTTACATCAGATATATGAACTAATTGCCTCATGAACTTGCAAATCTGAAATGTTGTGGAACTGTCTAACCCTGTTGATATTTCATCCATGAAAAGAGCTGTTGCTGGTCCTACCAACATCTCTCCTGTTCAGGTTTTAGACAAGAGTCATCCAGGTTATGGACACTATAATGAATCATGGAGATATCAACGTAAAACACTCAAAAGGTTTACCTGTTGTTAGACGCTTCCTCTGTCCACCAGAAACACCTCGTCTCATCTCATCTCCAACAGGTATGTCAGCACAAATGTCAAGACTAAGTATCTGTCAAGTTTGCATTTACCAAAGATGAGCTCAAAAAACACAATTTCTTCACTTTGTTAGTACTAAGAAGACGCAAGAATATATGTACCTTAAGTATATAGTCTGTAACCAAACTAGTTTCTTGCCCTGATATTGCAATAGATTTCATGAATGCATCAATCTCAGGGTCTGGCTTTATTCCAGCGTCTCTCTCCCTCCTTGAGAGCTCAGTCAGCAGCTGGTACCGAGTCCCAACACCTAGACAGCGTCCAGAGAAGTCTAGAGTCTCTCTCACAGTCATTTCTCCAAAGTGAAAGTCATGTTGACTAATGTAGGCACATGTCTTTTGAGGAACAAACTCGGTAAACTCATGACCACAGTATGTTATCCTCCCAGACATCTGGACGGTGTCATCAAGCTTTCCAGCCAAAGCTTTTAAGAACGTTGTTTTCCCTGAACTTGGTGGACCAAGTAATAAAGTCATCCTGCAAACAAGAGATGTTCAACAACAATGTAACTCAATGTATCATCCTTCCAATATACCAGAGACCATTGTAGCATTTTGCTTTTAATTTTACCTTGATGGTTTGACAATGCCACTGATATTTTTAAGTATCTGAATCTTGCTCTTTTTAGATGGAAGGAGGTGAAACATTCCAAGAATGCTCTGTACAAGAAAATAACAGAAAAACGTCTTGAGTCAAGCTTGGCCATTGTTTTTATAACTTTATTATCTAGTTCCTTTAAATCAATAACAGTAAAAGAAAGGAAAGAGTAATTGGTAAAGACATGAATACAATTATTTGAAAATCGAAATTTATGTTTAAAATTTAACGTTCCATACTTTAAGTTCAAACTGTTTATTTTTAATCAAAAAAGTTCCAACTGTATATAAATACAATTTAGACCGAACAAGACTACATCACAAGTTGAAAAAAAAAGTCTTTTATCCCATTAGAAGGGAAATATTTATTGCATAAGACGAAAAAACCTATGAAGTTAGGTTTTATCTACCCTATCTTTTTTCCTGAAACTCATCTTAGAACATTTTGGCACTTTAGAGCATCTTTATCCATTATAATGGGGGGGGGGTGCTTAAATTTTTTTTTCTTTTTTAATTAAAAGATAAATAAATTAATAAGCAATCAATTACGGATCATCACGTATCAATGAAATTCGCAAACAAGGCAAACACTGACGCTTAAATAGGCGTAATGGTGCTTAAAATTTTTGTGAGACTTGTCCACTATTATATTGTTTTTTTGTTAAGCTTCCCTTAAGTTCTCTGTTAATTGTGCTCTTATGATTGGCGTATTTCTTTAAAGAAAATTGCATTAGTTGTTTGTTTAATAATGTATGGTGTTTTGTTTTGTACACATAGTAGAAAAAATATCGTTAAATTTTTTAAATATTTTATTTAATTATAAATAAAACAGCTAAAATATAATGAGTTATATCAAAAAATTTAAGTATCTTAGAACACTTTCATCGAGGCTTAAGATTCACAATATACATATATATATATATATATATATATATTAATTGTAGTTCTTAACTTTACATGAGACATAATCTGTAACGTCTTAAAATTAATATACTAATACTAATATATCATAAAACAATTTTTTTCTAACATGTTTAAAATTGAGTATATATTATTCTTGGCCATGCTTTTTCAAAGACATGAAATAAAATTAACAAAAGAAATAGGAAAAAGGATTGAGAACCTCAAGTGTATTCAAAGTGACGTTGAAGAGAGTAGGAAGTGCTCTGCTTGCACTACGTACATCACCTTGCACTGATATATCCTCATACCTTACTTCAATCTTCGGAACTTCGATTCCCACTCTGTTTTCTCAAACGGACCAAAATTAAATCCATTCAGACCAGTTACAAAAAAATTAATTACAAAAAAGTATATATACATAAAAAAGACATATACACTTAAGTTTTGTCTTAATGTTGTACTTTTGTCAGAACTCACAGATTCAGACCAAACTAAAAAAAAAAAGATAATCAGAAGTACAAGAAACCTGTCTGTTCTTTCTCTCAGTCGACGGAGAAACTTCTCGTTATCTTCTTCGACGAACTTCAAAATAATCTCCATGAGGTGTTTCTTCTCCTTAGGTGCTAGCTTCGTGAGGTCGACTTCTTCAAGCCTACCCTTCCCGTTGACCGTCGTTTGTTGCGGCAAAATACCTTTACGTAGCCTATCGTACGTCGGTAATCTCTCGATCGCCGCCCACCGGAGCTCCACGTCATCTTCCTCTCGCCGTTTGCTTCTCCCGAATACCTCGTCCGCTTCAAGAGGAACGAATACGTCTCTGAAGCTTCTTGAAGCTCCGGGAAAACTCCGGTGACTGGTGGAGCCTAAACTTCCTCTCCCGCTCATCGTTCGGACCATTTCTTCGTCTCGTCCTAACATGGCTGATGTTTAGTCGAGATTCAAGGTTCGAAATCTCAGGTCGCTTCGTTTGCGTCCCCGCATTTATGAGATAGTAGAGGCGGGTGAAGTTTTTTTTTTTTGTGCGTTCTCCTTTTTGACTAGAATAATGAATACTCCCTCCGTTACACTTTATTTGTCATTCTAGGTTTTTGCACACTGATTAAGAAAATATTTAATTTTACATATTTCCAAGATAAAAACACAATTACCTATACACCTAACTACTTTTCAACCAATAGAAAAATAGAATATTATATAAAACTAATAAATTTTGCCTCGAAACTTTAAAACGACACTTAATTTGTGACAAAAAAAAATAAGTCTAGAATGACATATATTTTGAAACAGAGGGAGTATGAATATTGATCAGAAAAAAAAAAGAAAAGAATATATATAGATTTACCAATAATTGTCCAAAAAGTATATAGATTTACCAATAAATAATATTACTTGTTTATAAAATTTCAGAAATAAGATACCAATTGAAACTGCTATTTTATTAAAAAAATCACATTTTTATTATTTATCTTAACTATTTTTGGAAAATTAAATATTAATATTATAAAAAATTATAAGATAAAAAAAAATCTCAAAACAGTTATCCTTTAGCCATTATTTACCAAGTAATTTAACACATGTCATTTATACAATCAATTTCACCAAAAAAATGAGATGACTTAATAGAATTGATAACATGACATGTGATTAAATGTGACATGTCAATTACATTTAATAACAATTTTTTCGTAAATATTTTAGAATATGTTAATAATTCAAACATAATAATTAAATTAATATATTCAAATATGAAATTAAATAATATAAATACTTAAGAAAATTGGAAATATTATTTAATCTACTTTTAAAATCATACAACTTTTCTTACTAAATAATATTTTCAAAAATTTATACAATCTATTTAATATTATAATTATATATATATATATTCTTATATATAATTACAAAGAAATCAAATTATATATTTTATCTTAATTTTATGTTTGACTAAATTAATATTTATAATAAAATATTGGTTTAAAAATAAAACTAAAATATTAATAAAATTTATTTTGAAATATAGTTTAAATTTGAAAAAATGTATTGTTGCATATGATACAGGAAAACACCTAGTTGACATATATAGAAAAATGAAACAATTTGTTTAAATGATGGGAGTAACCAATTTTCATTTCATGTTTTATAAGCTAATGAAATATGTTATGTATTCTTTGTCATATGTATACACATATTTACATATCTTTATGTCCTCATTTTCATTTGGTTTTTACTAAATATCACCTAGCACATATAACTCTAAAATATATTTTGTATTATATTGAATAATAAAATTAGTTTAATTTATTTGGTGATGAATCTAAACAATATTTCTTAATTAAAATCAAAATATTTAATAGTTCCAACAAATATTTTATGCTTTCTTTTGGGGGAAATATGCGAGAAGTGATTACATAATTTTACAAATCAGTGATATATATATTGATCGATTTTCTGTGCTGGTCTTTAGTTAAATGTTCAAATCAAATTTATTTAACTGTTTTTTTAAAATAATAATAAGTACGCTAAGAACATCTCCAAAAGACACTCTATAACTTCAAATATGAAGTTTTTGGTTCTCCAAAAAAAAACACTAAAACTTCATATTTGAAGTTTTGAGTAGTGAAACTTCAAATATAGAGTGTCACTACTCAAAACTTCAAATCTGAAGTTTCATATTTTATTTGTATTTGGGTCCTTACAATTATACATTATATTTATAATTCTTATATATTTTATGGTTTTATCATTTTAACCCTTAAAATTCCTATCTCATAAATATTTCAATTTTTTTTATAAATTTAAATTTTAGACATATTTTTTATTTTTGTAAAACAACAAGATAAGATTTAAAATAGTTAAATTAAAGCTAGACAAAAACAGTATTACAAGAGTTAATGTGGTATTTTATTTATAGTATAATATTTAATTATATATTTCTATTAATAATTTCATATTTTAGTATAACATTTTATCATTTAATATGTTGTAATATATTTATATATGTCTTAGTTATTTATAAAAATTATATGAATTTTAACTAGTTATGACAAATATAAAGACCATAATATAAAATACAAATAGTTTTAAAGTTTGGTTTGAAGTTTTACTTTTGGAGCATAACACCTACAAACTTCATATATAGAGTTTTGCAAACTCTAAAATAGAGTGTCTTTTTGGAGATGTTCTAATACTAGCTAGGATTTGAACGTGTCTGCCATGTCCCTGATGATGTATCTTTCCGTGATGCTGTAATTGGTTGTGGCATAAACCAAAAGCGCACCTTGCGCTTTTGACTTCTTGCGTAGGATAAACTTATATAAAAATTATTTAAAAATAAAATAAAATTATTAATTAAATTAATATTTTGATATTTAAACAATTTTTTTAATTTTAAATTACATAATTTGTTTACTGATGAGCTGATCTCATTTTTAAAAATGTTTTATGTCAAAATATCACTTATCGCAAAGAACTTAACGTTTAGGTCGAAAAATCTCGAGTCGATTTGGTTACAATAAAACTATGTCCGCTCGATTTTATATAATGATTTAGCAATTTAAAAATTAACTATAGTCATGAAAAGTTTACGTTCACGTGCTAATCAAATTTATCTTCAATATTTTTCTCTTTTTATGTTTTTTTCATTTTGCTCGATATGAATATTGATTTTGAAGTTTATTCTTATTTCATTTGTTTGTTTTGTCCTGAGATTTAGAAAATGCTTGAGATTTAAAATAATTGAAGATATACATACTTAAGTTACGATCTGCACTTTTTTTCAGAATAAGTATTTTATATTTATTATTTATTTTATGTTTTTCTGCATATTACAAAATAATAAAATAATAAGTATATATATTAAATAAGTAAGAAAGCATTTACTATTATGTAATAAATTGGTGTGTGCATATAAATCTAATGATCACTATTGTTTATTCGCAGTTAGGATAAATAAATCAAAATAATTAATCTTATCTATCATATATGATATATAATTAAATTTAAATGATATTAATATAGATATATAACACACTTTTAATATTGGTAATTATTAAATGAGGTTTCTGCTCATATGATTTTATGATTATTTGTATATATGTGTAACAAAAATTTACGCCAACGATTTTTTTTTAATGTGAAATGTGTGGTAGCTTCAATAATTTATAATCATTAAAAAAACAATGAAATATTTTAAAATAAAAATATTAACTTTTCAATATATGTTCATTGAAAATATCAAAATATAAGTATGTATTTTCATACAATGTATATTTTAATTTAACGATATGAAATATCTATATATATATATTAGCATAAACCTATTAAAATAAAATTATTTTTTCATATGGTTTTATAATAATTGTAGCTTAATATAGAAAAAAAATTTAAACCTTGATCATAAAAGCTTATGTGAGACTTTTAACAGTTTTAGTAATTTATACTCGTTCTAAAAAATTCAAAATACAACATATAGAAAAAAAAATCTAGATTTTTATTGTATGAATAATGTAATTGTGTAATTTATTTTAATAAGAAAGAAATAAACAAAAATGATAAAAATAGAGATCGTTATCAAATATTTATTTTTTAAAATCATTAATTGTCATTTATATATATTTTAATCACATTAAGTAATTTTGTAAGTTTTATTTAAGGAAAGTATGCGAAACAATAAATATTTGATATATGCGAACAACTACAGCCTGCGAAATGTTATATTGCAAGATAATATAATTTTTAGACTATAGTTTATATAAAGTGCTCAAGAATCCTTTTAAACTGAATTAGAAGACATAGAGAATTGTCACGTAGAATAAAATTATTTATTAACTAACAGAATCTTAAGGTTACATCTATTTAAATGCTTCTCAATTAATATACAGGGGATATAGGGATGTATGGATGTCTGAACCAACACACAATGATTAGAGAGTAAGAATTATCACTTAACATTTGCACCAAAAGATTATGGAACTATCACTAAACATTTGCACCAAAATTATTTTTCTAATTATGGGAATTATTACTTAATATTTTCATAATCTGAATCTATATATAATAGCAAACTGAAAGTGACATCAGCATTTTTTATAGGAAAAAAAAAATTCAATCCAATGGTCATAGTTAACTTGATTTTAAGATCTAATGAACCAAAAAAAACCTTGCATATGATTGATGATGTCATCAAATATTTGACAACTCTTCATTGAAAAGATATATATTTCATTTTAATAGCCACAACCATATTTGTCATACATTTTCATAAGTTTAAATATTAATATTGACTTTTTAGAAGATAATATTTGTATGTGTTGTGACCGAAGAGGTATGAACGTATCGTGATTCAAGAGGTACGAACATGTCGTGACCCAAGAGGTACAAATGTGTCGTGACCCAAGAGGTACAAATGTGTCATGAACCAAGAGGTACGAACGTGCCGTGACCCAAGAGGTGCGAACGTATCGAAACCGAAATGGTGCGAACGTGACGGGACCGAAGGGTGCGAATGTATCGGGACCGAAAGAGTGCAAACGTGTCGGTACCGAAAGAGTGCAAACGTGTCGGTACCGAAAGGGTGCGAACGTGTCGGTACCGAAAGGGTGTGAACATGACAGGACCGAAAGGGTGCGAACGTGTCGGGACCGAAAGGGTGCGAACGTATCGGTTCCAAAAGGGTGTGAGCATGTTGGTACCGAAAGGTTGCGAACGTGTCAGGACCGAAAGGGTGCGAACGGTTCGGGACCGAAAGGGTGCGAACGTTTCGGGACCGAAAGGGTGCGAACGGTTCGGGACCGAAAGGGTGCGGGACCGAAAGGGTGCGAACGGTTCGGGACCGAAAGGGTGCGAACGGTTCAGGACCGAAAGGGTGCGAACGGTTCGAGACCGAAAGGGTGCGAACGGTTCGGGACCGAAA